CTATGACCCGGGAACCATTTCCACACAACAAGCGTCATCCCGAGAGACGAGGAACACGGCGTACCCGTCCACATTCCCGGCCATGGACATTCCTCGGTGTAATGAGTGACGCGGGGGTTAATGTTTAACCGGTCTATAGACCATGTGACCTGTGTGTCCCAACACATCGCACACACTGTCTCATAGGGGCCCCTTACCAGCAAAGTCAACCTATAGCGGCACCGTCCAATCACAGCCGGCCATTGTTATCACAGATTCCAGAATAGGGCTCAGGGGCCAAAAGATGACGCCGCTTGCCGTAACCCATAGCAACCAGACTGAAAGATGATGTCATATGCGGTAACCCATAGCAACCAGACTGAAAGATGAACGCCATGAAAGCAGATTGCCACATACATGAGATATCGGAACTCTGCAACAATGTATCTCCTGTGTGATGTTCTGTATTCATAGTGACCCCGTGTCCTGAGCCCCGGCCTGACCACCTCAAACCATGACAAGCCCCACCACTGAGCCCTGAGCCCCGGCCTGACCACCTGGGACCATGACAAGCCCCACCACTGAGCCCCGGCCTGATCACCTGGGACCATGACAAGCCCCACCACTGAGCCCTGACTCCAACCTGACCACCCCAGACCATGACAAGTCCCACTATTGAGTATTGAGCCCCGTCCTGACTCCCTCTGATCATGACAAGCCCCACCACTGAGCCCTGAGCCCCGACCCCCTTGAACCATGACAAGCCCCACTGCTGAGCCCTGGCCTGACCACCTCAGACCATGACAAGCCCCACCGCTGAACCCAGAGCCCCGGCCTGACCACCTGGGACCATGACAAGCCCCACCACTGAGCCCTGAGCCCCGACCCCCTTGAACCATGACAAGCCCCACTGCTGAGCCCTGGCCTGACCACCTCAGACCATGACAAGCCCCACCACTGAACCCCGAGTCCAGGCCTGACCACCTCAGACCCTGACAAGCCCCACCACTGAACCCAGAGCCCCGGCCTGCCACCTGGGACCATGACAAGCCCCACTATTGAGTCTTGAGCCCCGCCCTGACCACCTGGGACCATGACAAGCCCCACCACTGAGCCCTGAGCCCAGGCCTGACCACCCCGGA